ATAGTATGCGGAACTAGAACAATCTAAACCAGTGGCCAAAATAAAGGGTTCCTATCCAAAATTCCAATGTGTATCACTTGAAGGCTGGAGTGTACAACGGTTGGAGTGTACAACGGCTGAAGTGTTTTGAATATGACAAAGATGAGGACAACAGTGTGAACAACATAAATCGTATAAAACACTAACAAGCCTTAAAATTGATTAGAAGTCATTGAAAGCACATAAAAGCTTACTATAAATTTAAAAAAAAAAAAAGAAAAAAAAAGAGTAATAACCATTTCAAATCAAGTTCAACCATCATTTTGTGTCTTTTCTGTGCTTTCATACATTATGGACATTTCTTCAGCTGTCAATAAATTAACATCTTCAAGATTGATTGTTGTTGGAAGATGTTCATCTTCCTTGAAAGACTATAATAATACTATGAGATGATAATCTGTCTCAGGAACATACAGTAGTATTGATAGTAGATGTCAAAAGAGTGCTTATGTCAGGGTTGGCAAAAACTATGGAAGGTCATGTTTGCAATAGATTAACTTATATTGTCAGTTAAGTGCCATGCGTGATACATGCTTGGACGATCATGTCTCTTTCAATTTATGATTTACTTGGCAGAAAATTTTCATGCAGTAAATTTAGCTTATATAAATAAATTCATACTATGTTCTTTATAATCGTTGAGGATTCTTCATTTAAAGAAATTTGCAAAATAGTTTTTTAGCTGATAAAAAACAAATTTATTTTGCAACTTTCTTTAACCCTTTGAGCCACATGTCACTGAACAATTTTGACCTGCCTGAGGTCCCAACTCAAAATTTGCAAATAATTGATATGTAATGTTTCACAGTTGATATAAAAATAGTAACAAGTGTTTACCCACCCATTCAACCGGTAGCCGGGCATTAGGTCATTTTTTTTCTACCATTGGCAAAGCGGTGATCAGGGCTTAAAGGGTTAAACAGAGGTTTGGTTTATTTAAATAGCACATCAACTCTTTATAAGTCATTTAATTTTCTTGGGAGCTGCAGCCAATTTCTTCTGGCTTGGAATAAAATTCACTAATTTGTTTCTTTCAACCAACAGTATAGCACATGTCAAACAAGCCAACAAGTGTCTTCTGTTCACTACAGCAGTCACACGTCCGTCGCCTTTTGAACATTTTTTTATAAATTAAATGACAGTTAAAATTTGCATATGTTAAAAGAGATTCTTGCAAAAGTCTGTCCAACACCGAGAGCTGTTTTAAATATAAGACTTGTGAAGCAGCCATTTTCTTTCTAGGAAAATTTTACATGCAAGACATGTCTGAATTCATTCTCATCCTAGTGTTACAGGAACTTTGGTAATTTTTTTTGGTTTTTTTTTTTTTAACTATGAAAATCTATTGCTGGAAAGTTTTTATAAAAACTTATTTTTATACTTTCATAGTGTTTTGACCCCAGTTTGAGCATTCACTATTTGCCCATAGCTGGAACCCTAACAGGTGTTACTACCTCGGGGTCAGGGTGGACATGTGAACAACAATTAAGAGGTTCAAACAAAAAAATAATCCGCAATGATTATAAAGAAAATATATGTGAGAATAGACATTGTACACTATGAAAAGAGCCAGGTGCAACAGGGGATTTTAGCTGAAGTCACACCCAACTGCTAAATGGAGAAGCATATGTCCTCAAATCTGCATCCATTTTTACAAGCATTGAAAAGATTTGCAATACATGCAGTTATATAAACAATTGCTCAAGAGAGCATTGTAGACTGGATGTAGGGTCCATGTATCAGAACGGACTGTACACAAATACACTGAGGAGTGAAATAAAATGTAAAGTTAAATATGAAAGATTCAAGTCTTACGTCATCATATAATTGATACCCTTGCAGTAGAAACCCACAATTTTCATGTATTTAGAGAACAAATTAAAGCCAAATTTATACAGTTATTAGAAAACATCTCTAACTACACACTAATTTTTCATCTAGCTAAGTCATACACATGCCACAATCTACTAAAAACAAATTTGAAAACAAACACAAATATACCAGAGAGCTGTCCATTACTAACGCAACTCTTGCTAGCCACAAATTTCTGCAACTATATGCATTTCCCTTGAGAGAGAGAGAGAGAGAGACAGTAAAAGTCAGAGAGAGAGAGACAGTAAAAGTCAGAGAGAGAGAGAGAGAGACAGTAAAAGTCAGAGAGAGAGAGAGAGAGAGTAAAAGTCAGAGAGAGAGAGAGAGAGAGTAAAAGTCAGAGAGAGAGAGTAAAAGTCAGAGAGAAATTGAGAGACAGAGAGAGAAAGAGAGACTTCACTCTCACACACACAACAGAGAAAACATGTAGTCTGGCTGTGAAAACAACCTGCTATGAACAAAGAAAAAAAAAAAAAAAAAAAAAAAAAAATCAATGTGACAAGCCCAAACCAATAGTCAACAAGCCGGGTTAAGCATACTCCTTTTTTCATGATCTCATTTGACACCTTGTACATTGTGTCTAATTTGTTTCTTTACACCAACCAACGTCTACCTCAGATCACCTTCACTTATGTGTGTGAACATACAGTATGACCTTTGCCCAGCTTTCCACCAACTGGCCAGTGATTACCCCAGGTTATATGTCTACTCTCATGTTGGTGTTTACCAAAAACTGGGAAAGAAATATTGCACATTCATAAGGAAATGAAAGATTTAAAAAAAAAAAAAAAAAAAAAAAAGGAGAGAAAAAAAAAGATGATTCAAAAGCGTCATCTGTCAGCCATAAAACCCAAGTTAAAATCTCACACCCGCTGAGTCTATGAGGGTGTCCCAGTGTCACACATAAAAAAAGCTATCATAAATCTTATACACATCACGCAATTTTTCACAGTATAAGATCTGTTCCAGGAAGTAGAGATTTAAAAATTAACATTTAAGAAATAACCTACTTAGAAGCAGTGGTACCTTGAAAGTACCTCCTGAATGTCCAGTGTACTTTCCCCTTTTCAAAAGGGGTTTTCAAATTGCTATTCAGGATCACCATCAGCTGCTTAGCCTTTATAAACTCATTCATGATATTTCAACAGTGATTGACACTTGGGGAGAAAATTCAGTAATTTTAAACCGAAACTTAAGTTTGGCACCGATATATCTTGGTGATGCAATATTTTGCAAAATTGCACATCTATTAATTTGCTCATTGGACTCATTGTTTGTAGAGTAAGTGTTTATATTTCAGCTTTCTTTAAACAAACATTTAAATATTTAAAAATATTTAGTTAATCTGATTTCAAGTTCAAGATTATCCCATGAAGTTCTATTCCCATTAAATGCTGTAAACAATCAGTAAAACGTTAAACATGAACTTGTAAACCAGACCAATAATGACACGAATGAATTGGAATATTTAACTGAATTATAATAAAATTAACTTCCATTTCAATGGAATGTTAAAATCAACTTCAATGTTTTATAATCTGAACCATCAGTGACCCTATGAGTCATGGACAGCTTAGTTATTTTTTTTAAATTATATTTAATCCAATAACAGATATTACAAACATGCCAAAAAGATTCCACAATGTAAATCACACCATTTAAATCAAAATGTCTATTGGTTAGAAATTAACATCACCATGTGAACTATTTAACCAGAGAAAACAAAAACAGTATTTTTCTTGAGCCTACATTCAAGAAAGAATTCTTATCAAAATCGCACAGATTTCAACTATCAGGTGCAGCAATGCAACTGTCTACAGTGGCTACATAGTTTTTCCTTACCCCCCAGCATGTACTGAAAGGAACAGGTGGAGGCAACTTCAAAAGAAATCATATCCAACAACAGGGATGGTCAGTGAATCTTCACTGATGAAGAAAGTCTTTTTTCAAACACAGATTTTCTGTGGACCAACTGATGAAGATTTTTGTCTCTTTGAATTCATTTAAATATGTTTGTAAATACAAATGATTTATTTGATTAAATCTTAAGCAACTAAGAAAAAAAGAAAAATGTAAAATTAAATAAAAAAAAAAAAACTAGTTACTAAATGTTATTTTATACTGTATGTAAGAATTCTACCAAAATTACTATTTTAGTTACATTGAAATGTTTTTTTTTTGTTCTGTTTACTGGACCTGTAGTGATGGAGAAAAAATAAGGAGAGCAAAAGTCCACCATTTATAAAAATAGATGGTTCAGCCAACCAATCAGAATGATTTCATAACCAGGATATAAGGTCACGAGCCTATGTGAAGCAAGCAGCCTTTTCAAAGCGGATCTATAGATGCGTATATAAACTGATGAAAATAAAGTCAGAATCGATAAATAAATTTTCTCCCTTCCCTGCAATCATCATAAAATATGCAAAGATGAAATACAACATTTGTGCAACTAGCAACTCTAGACAGCTAAACCATCCTGCTGCATTTAAAAACATATACCTTCCTTCACACACATTGTGAAGGAAGTGGTTACTACATTTGATTGGATACATACATTCATAACATACCAAACATATATGTTATGTACACACTTCCTCCTGAACTCTCTCTCATGTATGCTCCAGGACTTTTATGCTTAAACTTTTGAAACATCAACTTTCACCTTATCCTTCTGTATTATTATATTGTGTTATATAAAGATTTATTTGGTATTTATCAATACTATGCATCATCTTTTAATCATTACATAATACCTATATACACACAAATCAATTATACCAATACATAGTAGGAAACGACATAACCATAAGATAAAACAAATCATCCGTAACTTTGGTTGCTTTTGTTTAGCAGCATATCAATTTCTATCAATCTTTAATGCTGAAATCTAAACATTGTGTACATTTTTTTTAGAGAATAATTTTTAGTGATATAAGCTTTACTCATTAACCCATAGCTGGGGGAGAAGAGTTGGATTCATACCTTTTCCAAGGGTATTTGCATGTAAGTGAAGAATACATCCAACTGGAATTTTAACAATTCTGAACCATTATCCATTACACAACCTGCACATCAAAGCTTAAAGAACCTGGTATTCCCAGGCAGTCACCCATCTAAGTACTGACTAGGCTCAACCTTGCTTAACTTTGGTGATTATACAGGAACCAGTGTTTGAAGATGATGTGGCTGTAAGCTTTATCCATAACTGGTAACATCCTGAAAATCTTAAATACTAATTGTTGCTCAAAAATGAAGCGATCCACGTAATAGTCAAAATACTAAGCTGCTTATTAGAAGAAAAAAAAAATCATGTACTTCAATAACAAAAAAGCAACACAAACAAATAGCAGATCAAAAAGAATTACTGAGTTGGTTAAAATTTTGGGTCTAAATCTGCTGGACAGACTTTAATCAAACTCTGAACAATTTTTGTAATGAATAAGCAAAAATAAATCCATTCACATTAGATTAGTATTTTTAAAGGGTATTTGTGAGTATTTGGTGGTTATCATTGCGGAAAAAAATGAAGAGTTATGATTCTTGTGTCTTGGGCATGATGATAAACTACATCTGGCAGCAAGGCCTGTGATGGGGGGGAGGTTGAGGAATAAGGAACCACCTCTTAAATGATGTTGTTCTCAGGATCCCAGCTACGGCAAATAGTGAACCACCAACAAAAATTAACAGTACATTTTATAATAAAATGACCAACAATACATTTTCATAGCAACACTAACAAGATATATTTTTATAGTAAAATTAATAAGAATACAGTTTATGATTGTAATTTAAATAAGTTTGTATTGTTGCAACGTCACTTGTACAAATCACAATATCGCTGGTTCAATTCCCCGTCCTCGCTTTCTTCATACCTTACTACGTATAGCCGACGTTTCTTTCCCCCTTTTTCACTGCTCCAGCACTTATCAGGCCAACACCACAGTTCATCAGCCAATCAGCATTCGTCGCTGTTATTCTCGGTTACACAGGCAAATTGCCTCCTCCAGTTCGGACCAATCAGCACACGACTTGCTATTGGTGGAAGCATTCCAAACTGTACAAAAAACCCTCATCCTTGCACATACTGCTAGAATGGCTGGACGGGAGAGTAATGCCATTTTTCACAAAGCAACCTTGCTGATGTCACGTGTCACACGTTAAGGTAAAACTCTTATTTTCCTATACACCAGATGCAAGCCACTCTGGCTCGCTTGCTTCTACGGGGCTGTTCACCACAATGATCTACAGGCTATTTATCTAAAAGACATACCTTAACTCTGAAAGTATAAAATTGCATACAAAATATTTAGATTTCAGCATTAAATAACCCATGGAGGTGTTGATATGCCGCTAAACAAAATCAGCCCACCAGAATTATAATTCTTATATGATAATCATAAGTACTTGCTTTATAATAGATATTTCACAAAAGTTGAATTGTTTTTCAAGTTTTTTACAATTATGCTCACCCTGTAAAAGGGCCCAAGAGCCACTCGAAGTAGATGGTTACACTGCAAGAGGCACCACCCTAAGCAAGGTGATAATTGCCCAAGATGTAAAGGGTTACCTGAAGTGAAAGAGAAGAAAAAGACTTTAGAGGGAACAGAAAAAACAATCCTGAACAGGAAACAAAGGACAAACCTGTTACTCCTGTTCATAAAACTAAGGAGGAGTGTGAACCGGACAATAGGCAAGCCTATCTACTTCGTTTGAGAAAAATAAAATAAAATAAATAAATAAGTAAATAGTAATAAAATTCCAGAGTTTTGGGTGGAGATGTTAGAAGTGGAGAGTAAAAGTAAATTTTAAAAGTAACTGGAAACTCAATCCTAATCAGGAAATGAGGAATCAATGAGAAAGTCACCTGACAAAACATGCATAAAACTTGGAAAAAAAAAAAAAAAAACTTCCACAAGTGGATACAAAATGAAGAAAGAAGGCCTAGAGAATTTGACACTCACAGTACATTTTCAAAAAAAAAAAAAAAAAAAAAAAAAAAAAAAAATGCAAGAGAAACAGTGAGTAACCTACCAAACAAGCTTGTGTAAATAAATGGTTGAACAGTGAGTGGGAGGGATAATAAAGGGACAGACATTGCTTAAATCTAAAAAAATGATAGGAAGTTGTGGAGAGCCATGATCACCCACATCCTCAATAAACACAGCACATAAAAGCATTTGGCAAGGCTTGGTGGCATAAGTAACTTGGAATGATTTTGTTAATTTTGTTGTTCCAAAGTATAATTTAACCTCAAAATGACTCTGGAAGTATGAAGTCGGGTAGATCAACTCTTAATCTAGTCAGAAGGTACTTCGACATGGTGTAATGATTAGCAAGCTTGTCTCACTAGAATAGTGAGTTCAATCTTCACTGGGTGCTCCATACTTTCAGCCTTGTGTCACATCTAAGCTAATGTATGGTAGACATTAGATATAAAGCTCTAAAGACCGTTCTCCTTCCAGGTCTTTGGATTTCTTGTTCTTTTCACTCCTGATCAGTTCTTGCTCGCTCTAGAAGTCTAGATCTGTATTACCTGGTCCAGGTGACAATAGCCTACTGATCACTGAATTTGATTTGGCATTAACTGTGAGTTCAATCTTTGAGCCAGGTAGTAGAGACTCAGCTTCAATGGAATGAGAATAATCTACCCTCTGAAGATTAAATAAAGTGTTCAGTTCAAAATTCCCTGAAGGTTACCCAGATCCACAGGCACCTGAAGAAAGCCACAGAGCACAACGTCCGAAACATTGTGATAAAGATATGAACATTAGTTTGAATGTAAATAACTCCTTGTCCCAGAAACTCAGACAAGAGTAATATTCAGGTCTGAAATTACAATTATTGTTTTTAAATATAGTTTTTGATAACAAACATCCCAATCCCAGCAATTGCAAGAAAGGATCATGGAGTGGTTCATAACCGAACCATTTTTTTTTTTACGGTACATCAACACATTAAGAGTCATTTTTTTTTATCATTTCATCCCAAGCAAGGCGATAAAGCCACTAAGATACAAGGAGAGTGAAAGATTTTAGTGAAGAGAAAGAAGAAAAGAACAGGATTCATGAATACAGACGATGGCGATTTGCATTGCATTTAAATTTTTGAAGATTGCCAGTGGGAGGGAATCAAGAAACCAGAAGAGAGTTCTACAGGCGAGAAGTGCGAGAAAAAGTATTAGAATAGAACTTATGGTTGCATCTAGGTAATCAAACAGTAAAACGGTGAGACTAGTTGCCAATCTAGTACCATGCTTAAATTCATGCAAATGAGATACTAATGGAGGAAAGATTAGAAGAACGATTGCCATTAAAATATTTGTAGAAAAGACAAAGGGAAGCCACAGCAGTGAGAAAGTGATTGAAGTTGAGATACCAGATCAAGATTGATTTTATCACGAATCTAGAGATATATAACAGAAGCACCAGACCAGATATGGCAGCAATATTCAATGCATGGACGAATGGTAGATTTATAAATATGCAAGATGGATTCTGATGAGAAAAAACCTTGGCAGTGGGAAAGTAAATTCGTGATTCTAGGTGAGGACCAATAACATTACATTCTTTGGGTTTTGTTGAAAATCTCAAGTTATATAACAGAAGCACCAGACCATATATGGCAGCAATATTCAATGCACGGGAGATTTATAAATATGCAAGATTGATTCTCACGAGAAAAATTATTGCTGAAGGCTGATAAACTTGCTTTATTACAATCGTAATTATTCATAGTTTTGTCTAAATTTCAATTATAAAGTTGAAGTCAAATCGTAGTATGGTTTTCAAGCACTTCAAAACTGTACAGCATGATAGGAACGTCTCCTCATTCTGACATTATAAAGAAATGCTCAACTTCCTTAATAAATCGACCATGAGGAAATTCGAACTCTGGTCTCACCTATAGGCCATCCGCTCACCCATATTAACAGGTTTATTATAATAGAAAATAAAAAAAACTGTTTGTTTAGGTAAAAATTATTATGTTTTACCTCAAACAGAAATCTCAAAAAATTGTAAAATATAATTGTAAAACTTACAAAAATATACACGCAATCAAAAGCACTTAAGTAGTCTTTAAGCGACGTAAGACCGGAAGTATAATGATGAAGGCAATTAAAACAGTACATTTTAATAATGATCTAAAAACTGTGCTTATATACAATGTTTTGGGTGTCCAATCAGAGAAATTGCTGAGAACAATTTCAAAACCCGGTCTCTCAAGCCTCTATAAATAAATATGTGACGAATAAAAAGAAAACAGCAACCAGCGAATAAATTCAAGCTCTCCCAGCTGGTATTCCAACCTCGAGTTGTTCCTTCTTGAGTTCTGTCTCAAAATTGCACTAACAGACTTTTCTAGCCGCCAAGCGTGAACGTCACTCAAGTTGCTTTTATATTTGTCCATATACCCATAATCCCTTGCGTCTTCATGTGATCCCATAATTCATTGCGTCCCTGTCCCATAATGCATTGCATCTTTATTGCATAAAAATGCAATGTAAGTCCCTCCTCATTCTTTTACCTTATCTGGCCGAAGGGTACCTCGAGTTGGTGTAATGGTTAGCAAGATTGTCTCGCTAAAGCAATTACGACTGAGTAGTGAGTTCGATCCTCACTGGGTGCCCCATACTTTCGGCCATGAGCCACATCTGAGCTACGCTTGGAAAATCACTAATTTTGTTTAGTTTCTTGTATATAGTTTTGTATTCATTGTAAATATTCATTGGGGTTTTTTTAGATGGTTATTTTATTCCCCTCCCCCCCACAGACACATGTATTGTATATATGGGGACTAGTTAGAACTTCATAGAGACTCTGAGGCATTTTGGTGGATGTAGTAAGAATGGTATGTAATGGATGTGTTGTTTTGGTGAAAGGAACATTGTTTGTATGTTTGGGTCAGTGATTGTGGCTAGCTAAGTTTAAAGTTAAGACGGAAGATGACCATCCTTTCCCCCTTTCCCCATCTCGGCCTTGTGCCACATTTGTACATTGTGCAATAAATATTTTTACCTTATCTGGCCGAGGACGGATTAATGCAGAGTGGTAAGTGCTTTTTCTCCCTCATTTCAACTGCAGTAGCTTTACATGCTAAGCAAATACGGGCTTTTTTTTGGCGGGGACAAGGCAAGTCGCGACCGGTTGTGCTCGTCCCAGGTTCTGTCTCATCACGTCTGCCACAAAATAC